GGGAAGGATTCATCAAACCCACATCTAGTCTAGGGTAGTGGGGATGAATGATGAGGGAGAAAGAAGCATTTCCCGAAAGCATTTGGTCTCACTCATCTTTAACTCCTTTCTTAAGAGAACAGACAACCCCTGAAGATGCTGCGCGTCTCTAGTGATTACAGGAAATAAAGGCAGCTAAGGATGAAGATTCCCTGCATTTCTAAAACAGAAGCTAAACTGGGTGCTAGCAGGTGACTGAGAGCTTTTCAGGAGGCTACACAACGTGGCTTGTTTCCCTAGTGTGGCTCAGGTCAGTTCAGAGCAGGGAAGTGGAGACACCACAGCCACACTGAGCAGAGACTCTCAGCAATCCCAGGGAAACACCAAGCGGAGCGAAGCCTCCTTAGCGCTCTCAGGGGCTCCCTCTCCAGCTGTGCTCAGGGCATCTTTCAAGAGGCATCTTTGCAGCAGCACAGATCTGTGAATTGCCTTTCCAAAGCCAGCTCCTCACCTTTGCAACAATACACCTGTGCAGCTTGGGCAAGATGTTGGATGTAACTGTCTCTTGGATGTGTTTGATCAGACACTCCAGTTCTTCTTTGTTTCGAGGTAAGAATGAAACCGTTTTGGTCACTTGCTTCACACCCTCACATGTCTCAGCGCTCTGCTCAGGTAGGACCGGTGCAGGCTCTGCCGGCTCCTCAGGGGGATTTTCCTCTTTGTTTTCCTCAACCATCTCCTCTTCCCCGTCACTCTGCTCCAGCTCCATGGCTTCTTCACCCTCCGCCACCGGCTCAAGATCCATGGGAGCAGCTCCTGTGAGGTAATTGTAAAAAACATGGGTAAATGTGGAAAAGTACAAAACCGGAGTCCTTTAGAAGAGACCCGTGTAATGGTTCTAGTGTGCACAGGGCTCCTTCCCACCACCAGCAACAGCAGATGATCACTGAGCAACAGAGTTGTTTTACCAGGAAGAGAAGTCCTGGCATGCTGATTCCTGAAAACCACCCATCGGAGCTCGGCTTTAGGAAAAAAAATAGTTTTTTTTTTTTTTTTCTTTTTCTGGTGAGCTCCAGCTTGACAAAGCTCAGTGCCCTGGAATATCAGAGAAGCGCATTCACTCATATTGATAATTTCACAAGGCAAGAGGTACTGGGAAGCACAGCTGTGAGATATCCACCTCCTTCAGAACATCTCAAAGACCCAGGCTTAGGTCACCAAAATGGCAAACAAACCAGAGTTACCATTTCCCTCAAATAAATCAGAGTGCATCTATACTCAAGAGCAAAAACCTCACCTTGGTGCTCAACGGTCAGAAGCTGCTCTTCAAGTGTTTCATGGTCAAAGTGAAAGGCTTCCAGCACCGTCTCTAACAAACTGTGGAAGAAACAGACATAGATCAGCTCTACACACAGAAAGTGGCATTGACCAACATAAAGAAAAAGCCAGAAGGCACTTCTAGAAGAATTTCAGGCTAAGTGAAAGCATGGCTTGAGGCGCTTTATGCTGAAGTAACAACACAAGAAAAGTATATTAAAAAAAGGGTTACTTTTCAGCTAGACAAGTTCCATGGCCTCACTCCCTGCAAAGCCCACTGACAGCAAAGCAAGTGGCCCATCAACAGGAACAGCCAGGCAGGGGCAGGAGCTGCTAACGCTGGCAGGCAGGCAGTGAGGCAGCGTGAGGGAGCAAACGGCTGCAGCCCTTCCCAGCTGAGTCACAGCTACCTGCAGAGTCACCCAGACTTTCCCTCGCACGAGCCCCCATCAGAGCGAGCGGTCTTTCACCCCAGTGAAGAGGCAAAAACCCACGTGATGCTTCCTGAGACACTGATTTTGTCTTAGCAGCCATTGGAGGAACCTTTGGAGAGCAGGATCACTCAGAGCACCTACCTGACTCCCAACTTTTGATTGATCGGCAGCCTCTCACCCCAGTGAAAGAGGCAAAAACCCACGTGATGCTTCTTGAGACACTGATTTTGTCTTAGCAGTCATTGGAGGAACCTTTGGAGAGCAGCATCACTCAGAGCACCTACCTGACTCCCAACTTTTGATTGATCTGCCCCGTTTGCAAGACATGGATGAAATGCTTTAAGTGGTACAAGTAGGCTGACCAGGAGAGGTGGCGGCAGACAGCTCCAACAACTTCCACCGAGGCTGTTACCATATTTTCGTGCTGTCCAAAAGACAGAAATTCAATTGCTGTTAACATTCATGCTGAGCAAATGTCTAAAGCATCCTTTACTCAAAGCAACAAAACGCAGAGAAAGTAACTCCTGCTTAGTGAGGGCACCGGGCTCTTGGCTCTTTCAAATCTCCTCTGGTTGCTGGACAAAGATCACAGTTCACCAAACTGATTTCCAGTTCCTCTACTGGAACTTCCTCTAAATATTTCTGCACATACTACTTCCTCTAAATATTTCTGCACATATTTACTTTTTTCCTCACATAACCAATTCTGTGGGCCCACCTGTGTGAAGGACTAAAACCAGGCAGGAAGCAGCTAAGGCACCTAGCCATTGATAGACACTAGGCTGGGCCATGCCCTCCAACTAGAAACTCACACTGTTCACCCATTTCCATTGGGGGAAAAAAAAAAAAAAAAGTTCTGCTTTTCACCAAGACTTCAGTCAATGCATTTTTATTTCCCATCAGTCTAATGGGAGTCACTTCCCCTCTGGGAATTTGCCCCACACATGGGGCAGCCTGTATGGCCATGGAAGCCAAGCCACGTGCCTAAGTTCTAATTGCTGCTGCCTCAAAACAGGATTTCTGACAGTAAGGGAATTAGACAAGACACATCTGCTGGTCTGATATGAGCAGCTCTGCTGTCTTACTGATGGCATGCAGGGAACTGCACAGACTTGTGCAACACCAGCCTTCCAACTCTCAAACAAAAAGTCTTTCTGTACCGGCACTACAGGTAATTTCACCTCACGTGCTTTAAATAAAACGTATGAAAAATGATCAGCAAAATGTCTCCCTTTGATCTGCTGCTACTGCTGCTGTTTGCTGCTACTGATTTCAGAGATTCTTGGCTAGTTGCTGCAGCTCACCCTTATCCCCCATGAAAGCAGTGTTTATTCCCACCTCAATTACTAGGTGCATCCTGTGCTCCCCACCATATCCTTTCTGCTGCCAAACAACAACTAAGCTCCGCTCCAAAGAGCCTTTACCACGACAGAATATAACATGAGTGGGTTGAAGCAGTAGGGGAAAAAATATCACCATCTGATTACAAAAACAAGCAAACAAGCGAAAAAAATACAGACAAAAGTAATCCTAAAACAAAAACCCAGTCAAGAAATCTGTCTCAGGGATGCTGGACAGGTTTAGCGGACACAGGATTTGGCCCAGACTGAATCTGCACATTCTGGATCCTCCTTCCAGCACTGGTAAGAGAGCCCAGCATTCTCTTCAGTAAGGGGAACACTCACTCCTGTATCAGCCTTCCGCAGTGGTGGCTCTTGGAACGAGAACGATAGGAGAAAAGTAAAAACATTCAGAATGGAGGTTTCCAATTGAAAAACCTACCTTAAGCATCTTTTCATTAAAAATGGCAGTAGTAGCATAAGGCATGATGTAGTTCTGCAGGGATTTGGAGGACAGCACAGTCTTTTTTTCAGTGAGCTGCTTAGCCAGTCTCCTCAAGGCTCGTGCCCTCCTGTGGATCTGAGCCAAACGTGAGAGTGAATGAGGTGATTCTCGGGACACAGACAGCAGCAGAGAGCACGTGCATCCCAAAGTCTTGAAAACAGCTCAGTTTTAAGTAAAGACATAAACATAGAACAAGGGTTTTTTCCCCAGTAATGTCACACCCTTTCTATTCAGTCTCCGGGCTTTCACTAGTCTTTGGCATTAACAAATATTCCAACTCAGTGGGACTTTTCACTGTGAATTCACATTCAAAAGAATGTGCCATCTTTCAGTGTCAGCCAAAAGAGGTAAATGATGTCAAATGATAAGGCCTGATAAATTACAAGGAAGAAAATTTGATGTGAAATGTAACTACAGATGCAATGAAGGCTTTCTCTGGTTGCATCTGGTTGCATCTCGGAAAGCATGAGGAATGTTGTATCAAGAAAATCAAGGAGGCTAAGTTTCCTGCAGCATTTAAACAAACCAAAAAGGCCTGTAAAAGGAAAGGAGGCTGCACAACCTCTGCACATTGGGCAGTGTGGAACAGGCTGGTCAAACAGATCTGTTCCTTGCCTATGTCACAGGGACCTTCAAGGACCTTGCTGACTAGGGGATGGAGATGCTAGCCAAATTAGGAGAAGGTACAAACAGTGTTGCTAAGTTATGAAAACAAAATATTTATAGGTAGAAATACTAATAAGTTGCGATTTTGATTCACAGTCACCCATGTAACTTTAATGCCCACAAACCATTTTTAACGACACCTAACGATTCAGATTCAACTTCCCTTTAATGTCAACGCACAGATGCTTTGGCGAATATCCAACAGTAAAAAAAACTCTTGCTTTGGCAGCGGGGAGACACACGAGCAGGACACGTGGGGCCTTTTACCTGGATGTGTTTCATGTTCTCAAAGAAATCCATGTCAGGATCATGGAGGTTGGTCAACTGGACCATATCGCGGAATTCAGGATTTGCTGGGAATGTCTGAATGAGGCAGGCAAGCAATGATGTGTAGTCCTGCTGGACACTCTGCAAACAGCAAACAGTGAAGATAAAGTAACCCTTAGAAAAGCTCTAAACACCCCTCAGTGCATCCATGCTGCCATTTACAAAGTGCTTTAGGCCAGGGAGTCCTTTGGTATTCTTTGGTAACCGCAAATACATAAATACTTTGGACTGTATTGGGACTGATTAAAGAAATGTCTCTTCTCCAAAGAATGAGCTACTGCTGAGAAAAACTAAGCAATGGCAGAGAAATACACCAGAGCAGAATGTGGACTTACTAGATTTTTATAGCCTTTGAAATGAAGGGTAAGTCTGATTAAAGTGGGTACCCATATATTTTATCCCAGCAACAGACTTGCCCCCCACCCCAAAAAAAACAAAAATCTAAAGAAAGAATCTCATGCCCAGTGTCCTAAAGAGAGCAGGAGCTACGTGAGGGGATGCTGGTGCCTTACCTCAGTCTTGCTCTTCAGCCCCCTTCGCAGGGACTCCAGGAGTGTGTGCTGGATTAACTCCCTGTAGGCATCTTCTGCGGGGCCAACTTGGGCCAGGCGGTGGATGATTGTGGTCAAGCACAGGCCTGCATTGTCACTGAGAGCCATATCCCCCAGCTGAGAGGATGAAGAGACAGAATCACATGAGTTGGGTTATGACACCTTCCTCCCCAGAATCACGAGGCTTGCAGAGACACAACAATTCCACCAGCTAGTGGGACCCTTCCTGTGGAAGGTCTAGAGCTGAACCAATGCCCAAACTTCAAATGGGAAAAATCAGACTCAGCAGCAGGCCCACACCACAAGAACATGCTGCAATGCAAAGAAAACTCGTCCTTCAAGATTGCAACATGCCTTTTCTACTGCACAAAACTGACCTAATGGTTCAAGGGACTTGCTGGTAGAAAGGCATACCCCACGTAGGCTGGTTTTCTTGCTGCATTGTGTTTGCCCTTCCAGACCCACAGGGAAAAAGGCAAATGGATGAAACGTTGTAACAAGAGTTCATGAAAAGACCCAGATACATTCCCTGAATGTTCCCCAGTGTCAAAAAACAAACAAACAAACAATAAAAAACAGCCAATGGAAAGACCATCTCCATTAGACTCAAAATGAAAGCATGGTGTGTAAGGCAAGAGAAGGAACATTCAACAAACCTGGATGGTATAAAAGCAGTTGTGCATGACAGTGATGAGGAAGTTGATATCCACTGATTGCATTTCTTTGATACGGGCTGTGATTGACTGGAATGCTGACAAACGTACATCAAAGTCGATATCATCGAGATGCCGTTGATCAAACGCATTCAGCTGAGAGAGAGTAGAAAGTCATTCATGGAGAAGGCTAGAAACTTGGCAACACCACATCATGGGAGAAAAAGGGAACTACCAAAGAAACTGTGCATACCTTAACAACATCAGTAATGTATTTCAATTCGCTGTCCAAATCAGATAGGGTCTAAAAACAAAAGAAAGCATTTTAATTCATATAGCTGTTAACAAGTTGGGGCACTCAAGGCTTTAATTCTAAACACTTGAGATCAAGAATAAAGAAAAAAACAGCATCAGTCTTTCTTCTCATATAGCTTAATAAGAGTCATTTTGTCATCAGTGTTTTTCTTCCACAAGCTGGAAGATGTGTTTTACATTCCTAAATTTCTAAACATCTACATCAAGTGTTTCCTGGAGTTTTTCTCCTGAGAATTAAACATTATGTTAGTTATTTCGGAATAACACAAAACAGCTTGACTGTTATAAATGTGTGTAAAAAAATCAGCTTCAGGTTGTTGAAAGCTACTTTCTCCTTCATATGGACATAGGATTTGTTACTGATGAAATGTGCTTTGTTTGGCTTCTCTCGTACAACAGAATCCTGGAGATGCTCACATCCATCAGGCTGTAAGCCAAACTTTCACAGCTCTTTTCCCTGTTCATTAATATCTATCACATGCAGTTCTGTTACTTACTCTTAACAGATGATGTAGACTAAAGGCTTTTTTTAAAATTCACGTACAACAGCAATAAATAAATAAATTTTGTTCTTGGTCTGTTAGAAGTTTTAAAAAATAAAAAGTATAGAAGGACATTTTAGAAAGGCAATACCTGGAATACCAAGCACAACTTTTGTCGAGACAGTTTGTTCTGGATGACAGAAAAAAGCTTTGCCAGAGGTTTGAGAAAGCTTGTAGGGTTTGAGCAATGCCTCAACAAGTTCTGCACCGTCTCCAGAATGTCAATCTCCGTATCCTGAAAGAGACACACAGATATTTACTGACACCTCACCAGATTGTTTAATTTCCTTTTGAAATATTTCAAGAGACATTTATTGCTGTATTTCATTCACATCGGCACAGCGTCAGGGAAGTGCCATCAGCAAAGATTTCGTCTGTATAATGAATCCAAAGTCAGGAAAACTAGTTAGCTAAAAAAGAGGTCTTTCTTCAATCTGCAAAGCAACCAGCAACAGCAGCATGTTTTTACACTCTCCCAAGGCTGAAATCAGATAGGGTCCCTGATGATTCACGCTTTTAAAAAGGTGGGAATCCTCTGTGAACAATTAAATGACCATCTGCAAAGCAGAAGTTACACGATGTTGCCTAGCAGATCTTTCTTCAAGCATAAAACCTCTCACAGAGCAACTGCATGTTTAAGGAAAAACAAGATCCAAATATTGTTCAAAAGACTCAGCCAATCAAGGAGAGTAAACAACAGATTCACTTATCAGAGACAGGTCTGTATTTTGGAGAATTTTGGAGGAATTCCAGACAAGAGAGTCACCAATATCCTCAGTGCTTGTGCACTGTCTAAGGCATGAAAAGCTCTGCTTCTTTCAGCTGCAGCTCACGAGGTGGGCATGCCTGAGCAATCTGTGATTTTAAAGGAGAATTTCAACTCTGAGATACACTTCTGTATTAACAGATGGATTCCTTAACTTTGGCAGATTAAGGGAATCAAAATATATAAGACCAGGTTAATAGCACAGTACAGTGTTTGCTTTTCATCTTGCAACATGCCAAAGCAGCACTGCCATTACACAGCCTGTGCTGCATATTCAATCACAGATCTTCATATCACAGTCTAGGCATTGTGGCCTAGTATTTGATGTGCATTAAGTCTGTATTACAGGAGAGAATTTATTTCAATCATTAACTTCATTCTATAAAAAAATCTAAGCTATAAATAAAAAGTAAAATATATGTTTAGTAAGAGGAAAAAAATGTAATTTCAGCCTACCTGGTCAAGGTTACTCTGATGAAGGAAAGGGAGGAGGAGGCTCACAAGTACTGAATTCTGACTCTTTTCTTGTATAAACTTGCTGATCCTATGTGATGAGACAGAGTAGTTTACCTATTTTTATATCAATCTAATCACCAGCATAATGCAAAGAAATCAGTCAGTGCTACTGCTGTAAGGTTGTGGCAGAGCACATCCATCTGTATCCAAGCTAAGACAGCCTCCCACTGAAGCCATGAGACTGAACACTTTGAGAGAACACTTGAAGTCATAGAAAACCACCGCATCTTTGCCACAGCCATCTACAAGCTCAAAAAAAAAAAAAAAAAAACACATAAGTGATACCAAGAGGTACCTCATCCAAATAAATGAAAACATAACATGTGTGTTGAAGAACCACATCCTTAATATTTTCTAATTAAAAAAGGAAGGGAAAGCATTTGCAGCTACTTGAGCTAGTTCCTGTAAAAGATTTTAATAGGATACTTGGAAACAAGTTAATCCATGTCCTGAGCACAACCTGATCAAACAGCTGCTTTGAAGTTCAAGTACAGGTCCTCCCTTGAACAAGACTACAGCCTGACTATTCAATAGCACAGGGCTGCAGTCACTTCTGCTCCCTTTCCTGCCCCAAGAAGTAATGGCTTTAAGCACGAGCAATAGTGCTTAAATAGTTAGGGTTAATTTCTGGAAACTTTTCCCTTCAGACAACAGCAACTTGCCAGGTGAATAACAGATCCATGTATTCTAAACTGGTCTGGATTTAAATATAACAACAATCTTTAACTGTTTTGAGCTTTAAAGAATCACTTACTTGGAAAGTATACTCAGCTCTTTACTGACTTGGGCTCTGAACTTCTTCTTTTTCACCTTCTCCATGTTTAACATTGTCTTGCTGAAGTACTGCAGTATGGCAGGAACATGAGGCAGAAACAAGCGGGAACCCAGGCTGAGGCTCTCTGTAAAGGGATAAGACAAGCAGCAAGGTGAGCTCCCAGCAAAACGGAAGGGATCCAGCTCCACACAGAGGGGAAAAATTCAGGCAAATGAAATTTCCTCAGTGGAAGAAAAACAAAAAGAAAACTGTGGTAGCTATGAATGTGCAGGTCTGTTGGGGACAGGCACCACAGAGGCTGAGCGCATGTGTATGTGTCTGTCTGAGGTAAAGAAAAAGCACATGTACAGAATAAAATCTCTTCTCACACATTTTAGTTACAGCCCCAGTAAGTGGAAGATTATCAAAAGATACCAAACAGGTTCCTCTAAGGTAGTAACTGTGACTGCACGTGTACGTGTCTGAGGTAAAGAAAAAGTACATGTACAGAATAAAATCTCTTCTCACACATTTCAGTTACAGCCCCAGTAAGTGGATTATCAAAAGGTACCAAGCAGGTTCCTCTAAGGTAGTAACTGTGACCTAAAAAGGCCTGAGCACTTGTGATGTGGTTTTCTTTATGCTACTACTGACCTCCTGTGCAAATCCAAACTGCCAGGACAAGGGTACAGGGGTTAAGTGCTGCCCTTTCCATTGCCTTTGAGTGTTACAGGTGAAAGATGGCTTAGCACAGCACACTACACAGTTGCAGGACATGAACCCTCTGTGAGCACAGAGCAAAGCCAAAGTGGTCTTTTTCAACGATAATGATTCTCTGATACATGACCACGTGCATTAGGTGTTGATAAAAAAGAAAAAAAAAAAAAAAGAAATTGGGTCTTAATAAAACTTGATGTTAGGCTCGGTCAAGTTTAACAATGCTGTAACAGGCCAACACTACAAACATTTCCCCCTTCACAAGGAATTACTCCATGCTGAAGATTCTGAGACTCAAATGTGCATCAAACATGTCATGAAAGAAGTATGACTTTGCAGTTCAGGAGCAAGCTAAGACAAATTTGTACTGTGATTTCTTCCATGTCTCCTTCCCCAGCAGACTCACCAAAAGCAAAGACCCCTCCATTCAAAGCACCCAACGGACTCTTCATGACTCTTACTCAAACGCACCTTCTGCCATGTCACCAGTGTCCACAGCAACACAGTCAGTCACAGTCACACTGGAGACCTGCTCCGTGGGTTCAAAATCTGGGCTGTTGAGCAGGTGATCAGCTATGTCCATCACGAGGTTGGCTGTCGCCTCGGACAGGTTCTTGGCGGAGAGCACAGCAAACACATTCGACAGCACATCGCACTCCGGCTGATCCGGCTTCTGCTTGCCCAGCAGGGGAAAGTATCTGAGAGACGGATTATAAAAAAGTGGGCTGAAAATGTGGATTTTGGTTACTTTATTTTTAATCACATAAAATCACAATGATCGTCTTCTACTTCAGGAAGAACACAAAAATGCAAACCTCAGAACCACAGTGTCATGAGAAATAGGCTGAAGGAAGGTTGAAGTCATCTAGCCCCTTCTTGTGCTACAAAATAGCATCATCTGGACCCAAACCCTTTGACCTTGCTTGTCCAAGTCTCCTGTTATGAGCCAATACCATTTTGTACCTAAGTTTGTGATGAGTTCTTTATCCCTACCAGGGACATGTCATAAAACAGATACTTGGTACTCTGGCAATGAGGAGCAATGGGTTGGTGGAAGAGATGATAACCTCTCAAGACAGTGAGGCAGAACAACTCCCAGTGCCTGTATCAAAATAGCTTTCTATGAATTTCAATCCAAATCTGTCACAAATCTGAGCTGCACTTGCCCACATTCTTTCATAAAAATGAAGGAATAGGAATAAAAAAAGAACATGAATTCTGAACACCCCAAGATTTTATTTAAAAGCCACTGACCAAGACACAAACAAACATAAAATGTCAGTTCTTCCTCTCACTCCTGAGCTAGGTATGGACTATGTATCCGTTTTGTTGTTCACACCCAGGAAAAACAATTACTAAGAAGAGAATAACTGGCATAAACCAGAAAGCTTCACAACTGAATCTGGACTGCTATTAGAAGACTAAGAGAATAGTTTAAAAAAAAAAAGAGAGAGAGAAAGATGGGTTTTGACACGATCACCCATAATTTGTTAGCGTTGTACAGCCCTTTTTTTCCCTGAATTTTGTGTACCCAATCTTATTTTTTTTTTTGTGAGGAGAACATTTACCTGGGATTCTTACTCCAGGTGTGAATGAGTTTGAGCAGAAAAGTAGGAGAATACTGACTCTCTGAAGCCAATCTACAGACCTAAAAAAAAGAAAAATCAGACATCAGAGCAGCACAAGCAGGTAAAGCCACTTAAAAACATCAACTCTAAGAAAGACCCCACTACAAACTATAGACACACAAGTGAAATGTTCCTTCTACCAAAAACACTCTCTGTGGAATCCAGAGGCAGAAATTCCCTTAGAGGGAGCGTCTGGATCACACGACAACCCAGACTCCACACACACTGGGACCTGCATTAAGGGCTCTGCTGACTCAGAGCCACTGAACTGCTTTCTTTGCAGCAATTTGCACTGCTTCCTGCATGTCGCACTGTGCTATCCAAATACTGGGACTGTGGAAGGCTATAAAGAATTCAAGGCCAAACCATGAACATAAAAGTCGCTGGGGTTCAGCCCAGTGAAATATAGAGCCATTACATACTGCCTGAAACTGGTTTATCTGCTTTTCAGCTACACGTCACATACTCCTATTGGCAGAGCTGAGAAACGGGGTAGGAATAAAAAAACACAATGTCTAGAGATGCAGACCTGGGGCTTCACACACTGCAGAGCAGAGCAGCTATTCCTGGAGCTCTCTGACATTATTTACGACTTCTGCTGCAAGGCTCTTGGCCATTTAGATACCTGTGACTTTATTATGCCAGGATTAATCAAACATGAGCCAAAAACAAGTGAGAGCTGGAGGATTCCCTATGGTGCACATTACAAACAAGCTGTCTCAGAACAAGACAAATGCATTACCTGAGGCCATACCACTGCATGGAAAACTGCATTGATCTCTTCCACGCTGAAGCTGTAGGTCTCATGATCAGAAAAAAAGTCAACCACAAGCTTGAGTCCAAGACGTCTCAAATTCTTCAGAGGATTAATCAACCTGGGTTGGACCTGTAAACAAACAGTAAGATGTTTACAAAATCATACTACTAGCTACTTTCTCTGAAATTATGCACCGTATTTCACCGTCCACAGATCTCTGCTTAAAATATCACAGCATTGTTCTGTTTTCTCCTGTAATCTGTTCACAGCACTGGGCTTTGGATCTCTCACAGCTGACCCCAATGTTTCTAAGCGGACCTGCTCCTGCACAGTCGGTCACACAGGATGCCTTCAACTCATGAAAGTCCATGCCAACTAGCTTGAAGTAGCACCGGTCCTTTGGATGAAGTGCAGAAAGTTGCAAGACAGTCACCCTTCCAGCTCTGACACTCAGATAATGTTGCCTTACTCAGGAAACAATCTCAACCAACTCTAGAGGTTATGCTTTGCAGAACTCGTGAGGTTATGCTTTGCACGTGGAAATCTACTAGGAAGAAAATAATTCAACAGCTGGGGAGAAAGGGAAGGAAGAAAGGAAGCAAGAATGTGAGACACCTTCCTGACAGGTCTAGCGCTTGGTTAAAGGATGACTCTACCCACATCCATTAAGTGATTATGTTTCACAGCCTTCCTTGGGGACAACATTTAAGTGAGAGCTGAACAGCCACACAGCTAATGATGGCCCTGCTGCACTATTCTCCCAGAGGACAGCCTATTATCACTTGAATAACCTAAATTATTTCCACGCTGTGCAATGCAGCTCACAGCACCAATGCATGAGCCAGCTCCAAGGACAGCCACAGAGCACAGGCAGGGCTCCAGCCTCAGCAACCAGAGCCATGTCAGAGCAAACAGAGACCACTGCCCAAGATTTCTATTAAACATCACAATCCACGACACAGAACAAACAGGTAGTAACTCTTATTTTGTAAAATGATTTTGATCTCAAAGCCTCTTTAAAAGGCACAGGATTGTTGTACTCCATGTGCTTATGGATTTCTGCAGACAACATCCCTGACCGTGCAATATTCTGCTGTACTGCCTCTGCACCCAAAATCACAGAGAGAGGAGATGGTGGCAAAGGAATCAAATCCGCTCTCTCCTAGGCACTCCCAAGCTGGGTGACACGGGCACTGGTGATGTGCAAGCAGCTCCACTGCAGCAAATGAACTGCTGGAAAGGCCCAGCATCTGCTCCTGTCTGCACGCATGAGACAGACTGAGCAGCTGCTGTTAACAGTGACCCCTGGGTGAAATAATCTGGGGTCTTCCACAGTTCAGCTGTCATAAGAGTAGTCCTCTGAAATCAATTCTTTGAGAGGACAGACATGCTCCATATTGGATGCGATCAACAGGACACAAAAAAAGAATAACTTATCTTAGAGCTGTTAAAGTAGATGTTTAACTCCCCAGGCAGTACTAGGCTGCAATAAATTACTCTCAAACCCCAGGAATGTCTTGTAATAATTAGACAACATAAACAGATTTCTCACACTCTTCCTTGAGCTTTTAACATCTCATGGGCTAATGGAGTGTTAAATTAAGTTCAGACAAATGACAGATTGCCACTTCACAAGTTACACAGTGATGGCAGGATTATTGCAGTAACCCATGCAAAAAGTGACTGTCCCATGCAATGAATGAAGTAGCTCTTAAAATCCCTCTTCCCCAGTATGAAACTTGCAGACACATGCAATCTGTTGATTTAAGCCAGACCATGGGATACTACTGTACTAAAAATTGCCCGTTCCCATCCTAACAAAGACAGTTACAAGGTTTTGTGCAGCCTGCAAGCAACCACACAACCTTGGATGCTGGCTGGCTGAAGGAGTTGGCTTTGTTTGACAGATTGTTTTAAAGACAAGCTGTAACTTCAAATGCTAACAGACAGGTCCTGTCAAGAACCCACGCACATGATGACAAAACATTCTTTACCTAACACCAGCCTATCAAGTCAGCCTATTGTCACATCCTTCCTTTAAACACAGCAGTGATGATAACTGTGCAGTTTGCTTGTCTCTCACCTAACACCTGAGCATGCTGTGTTCAGGAGCTGAATCAAGCTCTCCTGTTCCTGTTTGAATTGAAACCTGGAAAAAACACAACTTTCAGGAAACAGAAAGGCCTGGCTCAATGACACTGTTTCAAGCAGTAGGCAACAGCCCCCCTGAGCTATCTGAGCCTCCATAAAGGACTGTGCAGGGGCTGCATGGAAGAAGGAACTAGCTGGCAACTGCTACATGAAGAGCCACAGGCCCCAGCCAGGACGGCCAGCCCTGCAGCTGCATCCTGCCAGTCCAGGTTAAGGGAGTCCTGGCGTGGGGATGCGCCCAGGGCCCTGCACTGCTTCCTGGGCATAACGCAGCAGTAACCCAACACAGCCCTGCCTGGCCACAGTCAATCTTTAACAGAACACTCTCCCCTCTTGGCTGGTCTGCACGTACAGCCACGGTACAGGAGAGAAGAAACACTCCCAGTGCCCTGAATTGTGCCAACGGCTGAGCAGGACTGTCCTGATGCAGAGCTGGACATGCTCTTGGAGCACTGGGAGCGTGGCTGGTAGGCACGTTCTCCCTGTGTCCTAAGGCAGAAGGAGATGGTAAGGACAACAGTCGGGACAAGTGTGATCCACAACACTGGAGTCCAGCACTAACTACAGTTAAGCACCCAGAAAACAAGTTCTATTCTGAAGCTTTCAGATGAAGAACTTAAAATCCTCTCCTTCCCCCTCCAACGTTTTATTATCCTTGTAGCCAAGAAATTACATCTTTAAAGCCATCTTCAACTTTCAGCCATAAGATCATGTTAAACCCTTAAGGCAGACCAACTACCCTTCCTTCACAAGCACTGCTCTTCACAAAATAAAAGCTCTTTTCCAGAGATACAGGAAGCAATACTAGAAGTCACCTCCCTCTAGCTCTCCAGTAAATCAAACAGCAAATCTGTCCAAAGCAGTTTTTTGTTGTTGTTGTTGTTGTTGTTTTTTGTTGTTGTTTTTTTTTGTTTTAAACACACGGACTGCCCTTCCAGACCAATACCACTGGCCTCTATTTTAGCTGAGCATTACTCCTTGCTGGCATTAACCTTACCTTTACCTGAATCAAAGTTGCTCTGTGCGTGTATATGCAAGCCAGGAGGGAAATTTGCATATTTGTATGCACATATCTAGACATACATGTATCATATACTGTACCTTCTCTCTCTGTTGGAGGATGCAGGCTATCACAGCTGTCATACAGAGCAGAATCTGTAAAATTTCGGGCAGGTACTGACTAATCAAATGTCCCATGTTCTTCAGTACAACTTCGAGGCCATTGAAGAGGCTGTGCTGGCGACCAAGTGGCAGCACTTTAGCTAAGTCCAGCTCTGTCATACTCCGGAGCACCGCGGTCTGGCAAGGTCCTGTGGACAGGCAAAGGGACAGCCATTTATGCAGAGAACAGCACGAGGACAGTCAGCACACAAAGCAATTTTCAGTGATGAACACTGAAACCAGTAACACCAGCTCCTCACATTCAGCTTGTTAAATAAAAGGCAGCTCCATGTCTCCACCATCTGTCTGTGACACTTGGAGGCCATGCACTATTGTGGTATCAGAGCACTTTGCAGCCTCTGCTTACTCTCACACAGGCAGCTTTCTGCTCAGCAGTATGTCATGCAGCAAGGGCAGCTCAAACTCTTGGTGGCTGGGCCAGGATACAACCTAGCCTATAGTGTCAGCCACTGGAGCTCACTCCCTGGCCTGCTCCCTCTTGCTTGTGTGGCTGTGGCGTGTCAGTCAGTCTTGCTACCTCAGCCTGCAAAGCAGAGTAAAGCAAGGAAAGGCTTGGGAAGATCCCAGTCCTTATCAGGAGTTTACTGTCACGTTTTCTCACTCCAAGGTATTGGTAAGAGTCAAACTGAAGTATATTACAGCACTAAGTATATTTATGCTGCCACAGGTCAGGAAGCAGCATACCCCATGTACCCACCATCACTGAATTGCTTCACAGCTTCAAAGAGCAGGTCCAGGAACATCCGGATCTCTTCCGCCTGGGAGCCGGCAAGGAATCGCAGCACGATGGCCATGCGGACGCTCGCAGCAGACTTGCCCTGTGTTTTGCTTCCTGTTTTATTTCTCATCCTGCCATAGAGAATTCTTCAGGAACAAAAAGAGTGTTAGTTTTCAGCTGGTTTATAACTTCTGCCCAATGGGAATGACCTGAGTGGGAGCCTCCCTTTCATGGTCTCCTCTAAATTACTCAACAGTGCCCAGGAACATCGCAACGAAATATCAGCTTCTGGGCCCACTACAGAAGCCTTGTTGAAGGCTTCAGGACTAAATTAAGAGCTCCCCCAGGCTCCCTGAGGGCAGTTCCTGATGAAGAAGCAATCTGCCTGGTAACTCCCATTACTGTTTCTTAATTGAAACAAATGACAGTACCCTACGGAATGAAATGCCGCAGTTCTCTGCAAACCTTAAGAAAAAACAGTATTGACCAAAGAGTTGTTTTTGAAGAAAATATCATTTGCATAGCACATACAGCTAATATTGAAACCACACAAATTAAGTCTTCAGAAACGAAGAGGTCAAACTATATCACAAACTGTAAGTTTATCTTTATTATTTAAAATAAGAAGCAGCAGCACTGCTGCTCATGACAGTTTTACATAGGAAGTTTACCCAGAAATTCATGACACACCTCATAAGAACAGGGATGAGAGCTGGTCGATGCTCCATTTTTACTACTGCATTCTCCTCAGAAATGCTGAAATGGACTATTTCTTCTTTAAAAGTCTTGTCCTCCAGTAGCCTTTGCAAGTTCTCCCTGAAAGTAATAAATGTAGAGGGGCTTTATTTGGAGGCTGGGAGGAAGGTGTTCTGAAAATAAACAACATCCCCACACACATACACTTCAATCTATTTACCTATCCACCCACCTAACTATCAATAAACTTACTATACACTTATTAAGTACCATGTCCTCGTGCTTTTATTAAAAAAAAGAAAAAAAAACAAAAAACAAAAAACAGAAGAGCAGAAAGTTCAAGTTAATTACGTAGGCATGTACCTTCTGGACGCACTCTGAAACGATTATTCAACTGCAAGCTACAATTTTATATCATTACCTTCACTAGTGGTTATGAATCATCCCTACAAAAGCCCTGTTTGAAAATGGCCCTTTTGAAAATGATGTGATAACTAAGCACACACTATTCTGGGATAGAATGAAAGCTCCACTGTTTTCTTGCAAACAAAGAAGGGACGCTGGTCAACCTGAAGACCATATTTCCCGTTTTAGACTGGAAAGTTGCAGCCTGATAAAATTAAACTTACACATACTTGTTCAGTAAGTGCAGGCATGGCGCTCTCTCAGATTTTGGTAGGAGAGATCTTCACTGATAATAAAATAGTGCAAAAGGTCTTACCTGTAGGGCAGTAGATGAGGATGCTTGTATGTCATAATGCAATCAAGGGCAATTCTTTGCACGCTCTGATCTTGGTGGGAGAGTAACTGGAGATGACAAGAAAAAAAGAAAATAAGGCCCTAGCGTGAAGACAGAAGTGCTTACAGAAAACAGTCAAACAACTCAAAGGCTCCAAACTTGAGCACATTTTGGACTAGCTTAACAAATTAAAAACAGTCATATTTTTGACAATTCCTTCAGGGAAATACCTTGAAAAAGGATCTTAACGAACTGAGTATTCTTCAAGAAGAAATTCTAATTTTCTTATGACTTTGACACAGACTGTGATTCCTCACATCCTTAGATTTGTTTTCCTGCCTCCCTTACTTAAAGTTAGAAGAAATTTGGGGGCATTATCTAGGCTCTGCTCTTTGATCCTTGTTCTCTGCCTTTTCATTTGATGCCTGTTCATTTTCAGTTTTCACTTTGTTGCTATTGGTGGTTTAAACCCTATGTACCTCCTGGCAAAGGACTGGCCTCATTAACCACTAGAACAAACACACACAAAGCAAAAACAGAGAAAGAAAAAGACAGAAATAGGTTTCCTCTCTCTTTCAGCAGAAAGTATGTTGTTTTCATAATGATGGCCGTGATTGCATTTTCATCCCCCAATGCAATCAGTGCTAGAGGGGACGAAGACCATAGATTTTCCAGGTTTTCCTCAAGCCACTACTGGAAAGGCTGAAAGCTGCAGAAAACTTTTGGAAAAACATCCGATGCAAAATGACCAGCTGTTCACACTGACCATACTCTCTGCAGATTCAACACTAAGACAAACACAATTCTCCTGACTTTGGGCACAAATCCTCCTGCAGATCCCATGTTGCAAGGGGAAGAGGCTCCCTCCACAACCACCCTCCACATCTCCACCTGCCAAAGCAGCTACCACTGAGGCGCCAGATCCATGCACAAGGGCTGCTCCTTTGCTAACGGGGCTCATTGCAGCTCAAGGGTGAGGGAAGCACTGCCAAGGACAGCTCCTTTTCCAGCTAATATGGCTGGGCCCAGGAGACAACAGGTTTCTGCAGGCTCAGCTGCTGCATTCAGGTAAGAAAAGGTTGATTTGTTATTGTTAATTTTCAAAGCTAGTAAATAACATCACCTGGGTGTATAATGCATTTAACTTCTGCTCCAGGTACAAGGCACGGGGATTTGAAAATTTGGAGAAAACCTGCAAGTGGGCTATTAGCTGCCTGTAAAAAAAAAAAAAAAAAGTAAAAATAAATACTTTAAATGGATAAATCAAAAAAATCCTAAATTATAATTACAAATAAGAAACTTTAATATAAGAAACAAGGATCCCAAGGTCTCTACTACAGAGTCACAGAAACACCGTGCCCTTTTCCCGCTCCCAGCCAACTCTTTGCAGGTGTCACTTCAGCACCCACAAAAAGCCCTTTCTTGCCCTTTCTTGCAGGGCACCAGCTGGGCCCCGTCCTCAGCCTCACAGCTGCCAGCACCTAAACGGTGGGCTTAAACACTGGGGACAGCTTGAGAGAGCAGCAGAGAAACAAGAATCTTGCACTGCCACCATACTTCAATTATTGCGAACTTACACGTACAAGCCAGAATCTGGGAACAAAATGAAACCCCTAAAAACAGCCCAGGATTATGACGATACAGGCGATATCTAAAGTATCTGTTATGTTCCAACATGTAAGCTGACATTTTGAAGTTTTATGTTATTCCATCAGGGTAAAGAGACTCTGATTAACAAGTCATAGAGAATTCATACCAAGAGCAACTTTCAACATATATCCAATACTGCAGAGCAAAAGCATTACACAAACACATAGCTTCAGGCAGAACACCACCACTGACAACATAAAACATAACCATCTTTGTACATAACAAAAAGATCAGGATCAAGATTTTAGTAGTAGGTAATGACTGAATCCCCATACTTAAATACCTATGACTTAAGAGACCAGCAGACACATGCAAAGAAGTCAGGGTAACGGGGGTACGATCCTGTGCCCTTCAGAAACTTCAAAAGGGCTTCAGAATGCCACGTAATTTTTGCTTAAAGTAACACCAAACTGCAGACTATCACGTAGCACGTAATTAGATAAAGCTTGAAAGATCCAGGCTGGGCCTCTCGATGCCTGGTGCTGCACAGGCAGAGCTCAGGACTCAAAAGTGCCTGTAAAATTCCACTGATGAATATAAGAAGAAAAAGGAATATACGTAAGTGTGCCTTTTATCTCAACACGAGCTACTGAATCTGCCTATTCCTAAAAACACCGAGGAGGGAAAAATTAAAATGCTTACTTGGCAGCAGCTCTTCTAGTTTTCTTTTTTGGTAACCCTACAGCGATTGGTTCCCCTTCTTCCTTTTCTTCTTCCTCCTCCATAATAACATCATTCACTTCTTCACTGGGAATTTCTTTTGCTCCTACTGCACTGCTATTTTTCTTTCTGAGATCCTGAGTTGGAGCCACTAATGAATCAGCTGGGTAGTACTCATTTCTGCATAAAAACAAAACAAAACAAAAAGGAATTAAGAAGCATTTCTCAGGGTGAGAACAACCAGAAATTCCACAACCCTACATTCTGGTTACTGATGTCATTGTGCCTTGAGACACTAGATGGCCAAAGATTCCCAAAAGAAAACATCTTAACCCGTCCTTCTCTCCGTGACAGCTGTGAAGATAAAAGGTCCCAACCAAATACGCTAGAGGAGACTCTGAGAGGTACCTGGTGGAGAGAGGAAGGAGAAGCAGACCACTGAGTTACAACAAGTCTGCAAAGAGGCTACATGGAAGGCTGTGTCTGAACAGGCAAACATTGAGTGTGTCAATGTGACAATAAGTGAAGAACCTACAAGAACCTACAACAGTTTGGTGCAACTTTCCCAGCAAGGCAAGCAAAAACCTAGGTTTTCTAACCACAGAAAAGGGCTACACACCAGAAACCTCTCTTGCCATGAGATCACATACACAGCAATGCCCAATATGGGCATGCAGGCATCTCTCTGATCTCCTGCCGAGGACAGGGAAATGCAGAGCTTGGAGTGAATTATTCAGCAGGTAACTGAACTGGCAGATTATAAACAGCCCAGAGCACAACTGGAGAGCCTTCATCTCTTGTATGGCAAAAGTCACATTAGTAGAATCATCATTATTATACAAAAAATAAACATAATTAATCATCATAAATCATCATTAGTATCTAAAAAGTAGAATGGAAAAAAAAAACAAAACGGTTAATATATTTGGACATAACCCAAACCTTCGTTACATTTCAGGAGGAAGTGAATCAGTCTTTAACAAAAACAGTATTCTCCCATTTCTCACTTTTGTGACTCCAAATTAAAATGTGTTATCATTTTAGAAAACAGACACTTGATATCCACTGAAGTCATTCCTTAATGCAGTAATGAGGCTGTGACAGTGGCAGGTTAGCAAAGGAGAGACTGAGCACCTGAAAGACACCATCAGCTTCTTTTCACCCTACTTCCCTCTGACATCTCTGTGACATAATCTACATTTCAATCAAAAGGGAAAGATTATCTTAGTTGGAAATAGACATCGTATCAATAACGGAGTCCAAAAATAAGTCTATAAAGAACTAGCCATGGTCCAAAACAGCAACACCAGAATCAACTGAAAGCAATGTGTTATCTGAACTGAACGACATCACTTACCTAATAAATCTCAAAAGTAGTGGGGAAAGTTCCCTTGACCTTGGTTCCACCCTGTCTGGAAACTTGGCCAGTGCTTTCCAAAGTAGAAACCGGAAATTTGTGTGGTCCAGCCGCTCACTGCAGTCTGTCCGAACCTGCAGCTGCTCCAGGAACACAGTCCCCACTTCTCCTTCTGGTATCTTCTCCTTTTCCATTTCAGTAGTGCTTCTTTCCTCCTCATCTAGTTCATTTTGCAGCTCCATTTCTGTAGAAGAAATGATGTGAAGAAAATATCTCAAGGTTGTTCCAGAATTGTCCGTAGGAGAGATCAGCCCCCCACCAGGATGAAGGCAATACTTTCTGATACTAAGTACCCATTTGCACAACTGTATTCAACACTGATGTGAAAAACTTGCATTGTTTAGAAAGTATGCTTGGATGTTTTACAGCCCTGAATCAGTTTTATTTAGCTCTTAATAATAAATAGCTGTGTCCTCATGGCTTTACAGTAAAACCACAGATTTCATTAATACATAGGTAAACCTCAGGAGCATGCCAAAGGCACGTTGTTTACAAGCATCTATGGGATACATGGGGAAGGAAGACAATCTGCCCCTTCTGCACAGATGTCTTCATTACACCTGATCAGCTTGGGCAGCTCCAGCCTTAAGCAGAGAAAGCCTCCCACAACCTGCAACTCCATCCTGCAATGCAGAGGCCACTTGGGTCTACTTGTTGGTGCTTAGGGAAAAGAAGGAGACAAAGCTCCTCTCCCAATCCTCTCCACTCCTGTCCTGAAGATGATGTTGGCATTCAGAGCTCTAGTTATGAATCTTCGCCACAAAGTGTAAATTTGGGACACCATAACACTTACATTTAGCTGGATTAGGGTCTTAAGAGCACCTATTGCTGTGGCTTACCGGCACAGACAGCAGCCCTCTCCAAATGTTCATAGAAGACCTTCCAGAACTGTTTATTCTCCATTTCATTTGCATGAGAACTAACAAAACACAAGACAGCACAGAAGTTAAAAGGAAGAAAAAAAAAAAAGACATGCATCTAGTTCATTACTAGGCAAGCAAAGAACACAATCACAGGCATTGATTACTGCTTTTATGAGAGTGTCTGAAGACAGGACATCTGCAGGGTACAGCTGTAGCACTTCTTTGCTTGGGATTTATGGATCCCAAATGTCAATTGCTATTAAAATAATCCATTTGTAACCAATAACTTCAAATAAACTTAAATTGAGAAAAAGCTTTCCACTGGCTTTTATATAACAACATCGTATAGAACCAAAGGAAGAATTAGTGTGGATATACCTTTTGAAGAGCTGGTTTAACACTTTGTTAATTAAAGTTTTATGGGGAAGGTCTTGTCTTTAAATCATACAAGTGAAAAAAAGAGCAAGGGGATAAAGTCATACTGAAGACAGAGACACCAACTTCAGCATTCAGCTCAGTGGGCCCCATGGTAAGTCTTGCCTTGCATTTAGTAGGATTCAGGGGTTTCCCAGAAAGGATAAAAAATTAAGAGACAGGGTAACGCAGAGGCAATTCTTGCCCATTTTGCAACTCTAAAATACTAATTAAAGCCTCCAAAAACCTGATGCTATTTAACTGTATTTGTCACCAGTTCACCTAAATATTAAAAAAAAAAACAGAAATTAAGCTAAAAAGTAGGAGTCCATATGGATTGTTATTGACAAACCGAATCCATCTGGGGACAGTTCATGTGAATGGAACAGTTTTTTTTTACTGCAATGTTTGTTAAGAGAACAAAGGAAGGAATGATTAGACAGCCACTGGCTGCAGTAACTAACAGCATATACTCACGTTATGAGTTCAATTATAGGATCCCAGAGAGGACTGAAGTTAATATAAAGCATTCCCAGTAAATACCGAAGAGGCACCTAGAATGACAAAAAAACATAATCTTGTTGAGGTGTTAAAAGTCATAGTTGAAAACAATCAACCACCTCTACCTGGTGAAAGAAGATACTTTGATCAAATAAATTCTCAGAAATAATACCAATAATTAAGCCACACACATCACCATTATTTATCTCTTGACTTAATGGAGAGAACCTGTAGAGTTCATTTACTCCACGCGTTGTTCAGATCTAGTCACCATACCTAAGTACCACTAACGTGCAAGAAGAGGCCAGGCCCGACAGGTTATCAGGATTACCTGCCTCCCTCTTGAAATTGAGGGCCACCACAACAGCTTTAGGGAGCTCAAAAAGGAAATGTCTGCCCCAAGCAGCATTTATTGCCCTGCACTTAGAAGTATGTCCTCTGGACTGGCTCCCTGCTGATCTATTGATCCGTAGGACTGATCTTGAACCCCTGCTAACAGGAACTTACAAGTCAAGGTGGAAAAGTGATAGAGATAGGGCAGTCGTAAGAATAATATTCCTCTGCACCCCAACAAAATCTAAGAACATTTAACTGGTAAAAAATTGACCCTTCCAAAATCTAGAGGGCAAAGGCTCTAGCTCAGCAGAAAAAGAAATTCAAGAGCCACAGGCAGACAGGACCTTCATCCTGCAGCGACATCCAGCAGCCAGGTGCTCCCATGGCTGATGGGAGTCCTACCAACACCCCCCAGAGGGTATGGCAAGATCACAGCCTTAAATTTGCTCAGGAGACACTTCTCCTCGGACTCATTTACCTTCCTTTCCACAACACCAAAAAACGATTGCAGGCAACTCATCTACACATCAGTGTTGTTGTTCTTGTAAATACCCAGGAGAATGCAATAGGCCCAAAGACTACAGGAGCTGTGATCTTATGTAATATGAAACTTTTCTAACACCTGACCTGGGAACCTGGGAGCTAGAGTTTGATGAACTCCTGATAGAACCTATGGGAAGGAATAAGAACATCCTCTTGGAATAAGGGAACATAACAACTGCCTTTTGGCAAAAACTACTTACTTCTTCTAAAGATCCACTTGGTATTGCAGACCGCACTATATCACACCTTAGTTTCCTCAAATGGAGCAGTTTTTCTCTGTAATCATTCACTGTTGCTGGCACAAGTTCTGCTTGGAGCAATATGGCAAACACTGACTGGAGGTCTGTTGTGCAATCACCCTGAGCAAACAAGTGAAATGTATTTTGTTAAGCTCATCCTTTTCCTACTGGAAGTGGTTTCATCAAAGCACACTGATTTCCAGCCATTTTGAACCAAAGAATAAAGACAAGAGACTTGTTTCAATCTTTGCCACCTGGCGATCGGAACTCATGTATCTGAATATAAAAAGGAGGAGGGATCCAAAGAGATAAGATTGGCATGAGGAAGCAGCAAAGCCAAAGTTTACAGACAAAACAAACAGATTTGAAAAGTTCAAGCTGCAGCCCTACCTCAGCTGGTGCAGGAATTGGAGACTCAAAATGATTTAGAATCCGGACAGTCAAAAGTCGGACCTGTCAGAGGTGGAAACATCTGTCAGAAGTGCACAGAGGCACGCAGGCCACACACACACCTACAAAGAGGTGAATGTTTGACTCTGGGGGCTGCCTTTACTAGGTCCCTCCTGTAGCTGAGAGAGAAATCATCTCCTATAGGCTAGCAGGCAACTCAGAATGACAACATGGGGTCCCCCTCTAAATCACCTTTAGAGAAGAGACGAGTCCCCCAGGGATAAAAGTCATCCTCTTGTCACCTCGTGTAAAGCTCTTAGAAATGTATTCAGTCCTAAATGCATGCTACAAAAGTAATTACTATGCATAATCCTATGTGTTTGCTTTTGGCCCTTGTCATATAACTCTGTTCACTTAACGCGAATTTAAAAATGCATATTATCTTGCATGCACTCAGAAGAAAAAAAGCAGATTACCTTGGACACACCAGTGGAAATATTAGGGTGCAATTTGTCAAACAGGTCCATCAGGTTCCCTTGGGCAAGGGGCTCCCGGCAGCCACACAACGCCAACCTCGTGAAATAGAGATCGGCCAAGAGCAACGCCGAGGGGTCTGAAGGGAAAGTGCTAAAACAACAGAGGTTTATTAGCAGAGAGCACAGCTACAAGAAAGATACTGAACGTAAGGCAAGAATGACACCATGGGAAAACTCCATAGGACTTGAGAGCTGGCTGGTGAGGTTGGACTTGACTAGCAAGCTGACTTGCAGTCTCCAAGTCCAAGTTACATATGGCAGCCCAAGAGATGTGACCTTCCTCCTTGGACAGGGACCAGCAGGCTGGGCCCATACACACACAGTCACAGAAAACACAGATCTGCACAGCTCACACATGGGCGGCAGTGCCGGTGCTCAGAGATCAACCTCAAGAGACAAGAAATAACCCAAGCTCTGGTGTGACAGCATCTGTAGTATGAGCAGGACCCCTGACTGCCACCAGAGAGACCTCCCTCTGCCAGCAATCATCCCTCACTCCATCCTGGCTCTGCATCCCCAGCCCAAAGCTGGCAGAAAGCAGCAGGCTGCGCCTCCCTGCCAAGATTTTCTGGCTGATCCGGGCTGGCTGTTGAACCTCCAGCATTTCTCAGACAGGGACAACTGTGGTGTCCTGACAGAACAGGATGTTTTGAAGTTCAAGCCCCTGATGACTGGGAGATGCTCCAGCACAATAGTGTTGGCAGATGATGGAAGTTAAGCAGGATTTGCTGGAGGGAGAGCAACCAGTTCCCTCGTTCCTTCCACCCACTCAGTTACACGTGATAATTGGAAGGGAGTTACAAGGCACATAATGGAAAGTACCAAGTAGAGAGCATTTACATACACAGATACGTAAGGATACAGTGGAATTTCCTTTTTATTATTATAATGCAATATACAGCTAGCTAAGCACATTCGTCTTCAGTAAAACTAGGATCAGCATATTCATATGCTCCCCTGGAGCTGCCTACAAGGCTCCAGTTTGCAGAGAAAGTGTAACGCAGGGCCAGCTGGCAGCAAAAGTGTCGCTGAACAGGTACTACAGCTATCCCTTTCTCTGTACAAGTGTTGCTTACAACATTGCCACATTACAATAGCGAGGCAACGTGCAGCTACTGCTCCACACAAAAAGGCACTTAACAAGCCCCCTCCATAAAAGTGACCACGTTGCTGTGACAAGGAACACGAGGGGGATCACAGGAGAGGCAGAGTTTACTTACATCACCAACTTCTTGACACGCTCCACAGGTAACAAATGGAGTATTTCAGAAGACTCTGCCAAACTAAGGAGAGTACTCACAGCTTGACAGGTCACGAAGAGGATTCCTGGATCAAAGGGAATAGGAACAGCCTGTGTATTTACTCAAGTCACAATGAGCTGTGGTTGCATTGTGCTTGGCCATCTTCAGATGGCTGCAGTCACAGAAACAGAGCAACACATGGATCTCAGAACAGGCATCAGCATTTCTAACAGTTATCATAACCCATAATAGAAATATTCCTCTGGATATTATCATCTTCACAAATGCCAATTCCAACTTGCTACCAATGAAACCTGTGAGCAGTTTCCAGTTAGTGACTGCCTCAACACACCTACGTACCCCAGGAGCAGAGGAGCTCCCAGAGCAGCCTGGAGCTAAACGCTGTTGCAGAAGTCTCAGACAGCTCTGTGCCACTAATGGCACTCAGGAAGTGAAGAAAAGCTGTCCAAAATAACAAACATGAAACACAGCAGAAGAAAATATATATATACTGACGGCACTGCACAAGTGTCTATGAACTTTGGCACTTTGGCAATGTATTTATATGAGACCTGCAAAGCTGTCCCATGTACCTAAAGGCTGAATTCTTGTTAGAAGTGAGTGGAGACTGTGTTGGCTAAAACAAAACTAAGCAATAGAGTCTCTTTCCTAAAACGCTCAGCCTACTTGAGAGATGGAGGGTTTCCCTGTCTAACAAGTCTTGCCCCAGCAGCACAGGAGAGCCAAGGCCCTTCCAGGCAACAAGGGGGAAGGGTGATTCCTTTCCCTGCCACCTTTAACTTGGCAAGAGGCTTGTTTACAAAAAAATAAATCCCCTCTCCTTCCTCTCTTCCCTAGCACCTAAGCCACACAGGCTGAGAAAAGCTTTATAAAAGATACTAACTTTCTTTCCTGCCCCCAGCTGCCACGAAATAAAAAGAAGGGGAAGCGAAACTTTCTGAAAACTTTTCTCCATTCCAAGTTGCTTAGTTTCCCCGGGTACCTGAAGATTCCCGCTCACCATTAACCTCTTTAGGGAGCTCCAGACAAAGAGGAGAAACTGAAAGAGATGATAAGCAGGATAAGGCTTCCTATGATTTAAGGGCAGAAGTTCTCAAGCTGTTATGCACATGGCATTTTGCAGTAGTACCTCTAGTCAGACAAAGGCAGCAGCTCCCACCTCACTGTGGAGCACATCTATATGATCCATAGGGTAAGTCCCACACAGGCAGTCACCTGTAAAGAACAGCTGTACCGGTGCCTCGGGTAACTCACGGTGCTGTCCCACTTCTGAGCCTGCTTCTCTAAACTCCGCAATGTTTGCAGAAAACCACCCAGGTCTGGGACTTTTGTCTCAGGAAACAAGAGACTAGACAGGCCAAATAGGGAGCACGGGGTTGGGTGGGCTGAGTGTGCCCTGGAGGAGCAATAGGAAGGGACAGGAGCCTCAGTACAAGGGGAAGGAATTGGAAAGACCATGGAGCCAGAAAGTGCCAGAAGTTGAGAAAATTGTCCGGGAAGCCGGATTTGGGAAAAGCATGAGAGAAACAGAGCAACAAGACAGCAAGTAGGATAGGGCAGCAGGAAGTAGGAACACGGGACTTGGGTTGTATTTCTTTTCTTTTAGGGGCAAAAGAGCAAATAGCAACATGGTTCTTGCATACACACTGATGTGGTGCAGAGCTGCTACCATGGAGAAGAGCCAACAAAGGAAGTTCAGGTACTTCCACTGTAAATTACCTTGCAACTCAAATAATCACAGCTGCACAGGGCTACATACTGAGCAGGAAAAAAAAAAGAGCTAAATCAAAAAGGACCATCCCTGACAAAGACATGAAGAAGAAAAAGCAAAGCAATGTGAAAGATAAGTAACAGAGCCAACTGGTGGGTACCTTTAGGAACATTAACAGATGATTTGCAAAAGGAAAAGGCCAGGCTCTTGGGAAGCCCTTTCAGAGCAAGAACACTGAAGAACACTGAACCTAGGGCATTCCAACATGCGCACAAACTTTGGCATGAGGCCAAATGCTTGTAATTCCTCTGAGTAACAACGCCCCTGCACACTGCAAGTTAAGTGGAAATCTTCTTCTGGCCTAAGATGACAACCAGTGGGGTCACAGTGACTGATGTCTGCAAGAAGAATGTCTCACTGTGGAATAGTTGCTATCACAACAGAGAAGGTAACATCACAGATCTAGCAGTACAGGTTCAAAACAAGGTGACTGGATATTGTGAGCCAATATTCTCTCCTTTACGTGACTGGTTCAACCTGAATCTAGTTTGTATTCAATTTTCAACATCTGTTCTCTCATCTGCTTCTTTTTTTTTTCCTCCAACCTTCGTATCTTGCTCAAATCTAGATTTTAACACTCTGTCCTCTACACCACAGAACATCTGCCAACTCATTATGAGTATCAACAGCATTTGCAGAGCTGCTCCCTTGAAGGAGTTTCTCTCTAGCTCTTGTATTTTTTTTTTCTGAGCTTATCCTTAAATCTGGATACCATGCTAGTGTTATTCATTTTCATGCTTTGTGTTTTCAACAAAGTTGCTTTGTATTTTTTACATTCCAACAAAAAGCAAATGAACAGACATTAACAGTAACTGACCTTTGCAGAGGTTTCCTTTGTCAATGGCTGTGAAGAGAAAGTCCGTAAAACTTGCCACACTCAGCAGGATATTTTCTTTGTCTGTAGGTCTGTTCAAAATAAATGAGAAACTTTTATCTCTGTGCTACACTAACACCTAGAGGCATATGAAGGTTTATTTCCTCTTCTCCCTTCTCTCATGTTATATTATACATAGCTCATCCTGAGTTTTAAAGCAGCAGCAGATTATTTTTATTGGTTCATTTCTAATTTACAACTTAACTTGCAGCATCTCGTTTCCAACTCCTTCCATGCAAGCACATTACACTTACTGAGAACATCACTTCCCTACGAGGGGGGAAAGCAACTGTAAACTGTCAAGAACAGTCTTACCAGCCAGGTAGGCTGAATCTAAGGATTAGAATCAAGAAACTCATTTTATTCCCAACTATATCACTAACTTGCATTATTTCCACAGCATCTTTTCATCTTTTGACCCCAGTTTCCCCAAACTACACGTAGTCATTCTTGTCCTTCTCTTAGTAAAACCGTCTGTGACCAACGGTGAATAATGTTATCTATGAACTAGTGAATACTACTGAAATACAGAGCAATGGTACCTCAGATAGTAGGCATACACCTTACCTAATATGTGGCAGTACAACCAAGGCAGCCCAAGGCTGAGAAAGATCAGCAATATCTTCATTTGCTGGTAACTGGATTAAAGACAGTACATGCTCCAACACTGGCACCTGTGTCCTTCCTCCTTGGCTTGTTTGCTGTCTTATATCAGAGCTAAAAATAAAATTAAACATTTTAGTAACACACAGTTGCATATCAGAGATGGCTTATTTTCTTCTTATGATACTAAAAATCAAATTTGTTATTGCTAACAAAAAGGACTTGGACATCCCAAGGAGTTTTTTTCCATTAATTCTCTCCACAGGACAAAAGACTATCCAGTCATGTGAAAGCTGAGAGGAACAGTACATGGCCCAGAAGAAATGTCAGGTCTTTATATCAAATTCAAGAAACATCTCTGGAAGGAAAAAAACTCCAGTTGCTGGTCAACAGAAAAGATTTCTGATGATCAAAGCCTGTTACTTGTAAAAGCTGGATGCAAAGAGGAAGAAATAATAGTTTTATATTTCCTGCAGATAAGATAATACAGTACATTTAATCTGCTGCAAAATAGAAATTAGTCCAGAAACTCAAAACTGGCAGAAGAAAAGAAGCTTTCTAACCGTAAATGCAGCAAAGCACTGAACAGACTGCCAGGGCAGCTGGGGAATCTCCAGGAGAGGATGTATTTAAGAACAGTTTGATCAGACATCTTCAAGGACTGGTTCAGGACTTGCTAATTCCTCCCTAAATTAGAAATGGGCTACAGAGCATCTAGAGATTCCCCCCAGCCCTGTTTTCTGTTGCTGGCATTACAGGAGCACCACAAAGAAGCTTCAAGCAGGGCCAAGATCCTACCAACTATGTATTCCACATTCCACTGAAAATCCCAAAACATCAACAGAAAATTTAAAACACCAAAATCCAAAACATCACCATGAAAATAAAGAAGAGAAATTGAAATCTATCCTTTTGACTCACACTCTTCTATTCCCTCAAACCTAATGCCTCCACTCTATTAAATAAAGCTGGAAAGAAACCCATGGAGCGGATTTCTCCATTGAGAGACAACAACCTTATATAAAAAGCAAAACAAATTGACACTCTCTGCAGATAAAAGACCAGAATTACCAGAGTTACAGAGATCAGAACAAACACTGATTACCAATGGTTCATCTGTGCTTGACAACAGTGACCCCAAACCTTTCCTCAGAGTCTCCAGGGGAAAAGCAGCCACTTTACAGCAGCCAAGGTGGCTTTGCAACCATAAGCAGTTGAGCTGTGCTAGCAGGGTACTGCATCTAGATTAATTTGATGGCCTTTGATACCTAGCTGTGCTCTGTGTAAGCCCATACTGCTCCCCTGTAAGTTCCTGGGCAAGACCCAGGCCTGCTCAGAAGGAAGACAGAGCAAAGGCAGGAGATTAGTCCCAACAACAACCAGGACTATGCAACTGATTGGCTACCAAGATTAACTGCCCTCTGGTGCAGCATGGGTCTGAGCAGAGGAAAACGCACGTGGCATGTCGCCCGCAATGCTTGCTAGCTGCTTTGACCAGTGCTAATCTTTCTAGAGGTGAGAGCTGGAAAAAAAAAGAAAGAGAGGAAAAAGAAAAAAAGAAAGCGATCCCGCAGCATCACTGTGTTTGAAGATCTATCAGCACCATTCTTATTTATGCAACTCTGGCAAATAGCATGGGGTAACAGCTCTGCATCTGTGCAGCTCTGCCGGCCCCAGCCTCCGGGCACGGAGCCGCGCGGACACGTCTACTCCCTGCTGGAATCACGAGTCTCACCTGGCCAGTGGTTCAGTGAAAACGAGAGGATACTTCTCAAACGCCATGGAGCCAAGGGTGGGGGGCTCTGCTTTTGCCAGAATAAGTTTAGCCAGAACTGCTATCGCCTCATCCTTTGCAAGGGTATCTGTGCCAGTGAAGCAGCGCTCAATGTACGCTAGAAAGCACGGAAGAAAATGCTGAGGAGGGAAGAAAAAAAAACAAAGAAAAAAACCAAAAAGGTTTAGCAAGTCTCTTTAACCCTAGTGTGATTAAAGCCCTAAGGAATCCAAGATACCAGCCACAGGGAAGGCCAAACTTTCATAAATCAATGAGCAAAGCACCAGACTTTCCATCAGTGCCGCAAGCTGTACCAGTACCTGGCAGGGACAGTGGTTTGATGCAAAAGCTCTGTTTGGCCCAAAATCCAGGCTCCTAGATTCCTCACCCTCACCTCCTGCTTCACTTAACTATTAATTCTTCCTAGATCACTGATCCCAGACATCCCTCATCCTTCATTTTCACTTTCTTTCTCAAGAACTCCTTCACTTCATCCTAGCCATAAAAATGCACCGCTTTTACCTTTACAGACAAATTTCTCTTTGTGAGCACAGATATCTGTCATCCTCTGCTACCTGAACTAAGTATTTAATCCCACTGCGACTCCAGCAAGAGACAAAAATGGGAAATTCTACTGCCGGTATGAGACTCGAAGTAGATACTGGGAGAAGTTGTGGTTATCTGAACTGCACAGAAATGCACTTTTCTCTATTATTTTTTAGTACAGTGGCTTAAATAACTTCTTTAATTCTCATTAGATCACACTACAATTTTAAATATTAAAGGTCAAGTCATCACACAAAAATGATTCGGAATACAATGTAGATAAATATACTCTGGATCTCCCAGTTATAGGAGGTTTTGCTGTTCAGTTGTGCATGGCAACTCATACCCCCTCCCTGATTTATTTATCTGTCAACTAAAATAAACACACAAAAATATCCACTTACCCTCTCAAATTGCTTCATTGAGAACATCACCTCAGAGAAGTCCAAAAGGAAGTGCGATTCAAACCCACTTGCAAATACCTGCAAGGTGCACATGAAGAGTTAATAGGATCATATTAACAAAAGACATTTAACAGTCAACCCTCCACATCCATGGATAACTTTGCAATTCTGCCGTTTTGCCATTTTTTTCTGGTTTACCAAACAACCTTGCTTTGGAGACCGAGACACACAGCTTAGTTCTGGGTACCCAGCATGCTTTGTTAGCTCAGCTTTACTCAGGAATGAAAACTCGAGTACAGAAAGAGAACGGGCCTTTTAATAAATCTGTCTGGATCTGTCCAAAGACAGCCCAGCTATCCTCACCATGATCTGGAAAATGGAAGCTACATGTTCTAGGACACAGCAACCACTAGGCGAAACCTTAAGCCCAAATGACTTTTCTGCCTGGCTCTTTTCCTGTGCAGCTCCTAGGGTATGAATCTACCATAATTGGTTGCAGAAAGTTTACTACCTCAGGAGAGCCAGCCTCTGTGCTTCTGAAGGAATCAAGATATAAATCCTCCTTCATGGTAAGTAGTATCAGGTATTATTTTAGACATAGGGCAACTTCTTCTTTGTCTGGGCAAAAAGGGAATCTTTACAGTCTGTTTCCCAGCCCAACGTGGAAACGTCCTGAAGTTAACTCGATCAAATGAGCCCAGGCTCTGAGATCTCTGCTGCAAGAAGCAGTCTTTGTTACCTTCTCAATAGTTTCCTTGGTCAAGGTATCAGGCAAGAAAATATTCTCAGAGAGCAGCCAGAAATAGTGTTCAGTAGGGTTTTGCAGCAAGATGCCGTCAAATCTGGAGTTTGTATCAATTTTATTAAAATCTGTGGAATGAAAGAGAGAGAACTGATATTTGTATATTAAGACAACGATTGTCTGGTTTGAATGACCTGGACAGCCTTTGGAGGCAGAGGACATGGTGTTCCAAGCTTCAGCCCACTGAATTACATCCTAATAGCTCTGTACAGGTTTGCAGGCACAAAGCCTAGGAGGCCAAATGCAGGTGAATTTGGTGGAACTTCTCCAGCAGTTACAAGGGCCTAGCTCTCCTCCACAGTGGCAGCTGGGCTCCACAAGATCTCTAGCAGCAGTGGCCCCGTTCTCGTTGCTGCTCGTTTGAAGGAGGACTACATCAGCACTACATGACAAAGAAAATTCTCATGGGTTTGGAGAGGCAGCAATACTCCCAACAAATCTCTCTGTTCAACTTCACTCAAATCCTAAACCCACTGGAATTTAGAACAGTGGATTATAGTAGGAATGTGAAAGAATGCTGTAGCTCCTCATCCCCAGATTCAAGAGTCCTCTATGGGACACTAGCCAAAGGGATTGTTTGACCTACCTGACAGACTTCCTCAGGCCGTGGGATTTTGGATCCATTTGCATATTCCACTAGGATCAGATAGGCTTGCAGAATCCTTTCCATCTGCTCTGAAGTCACATGGCAGTTACCCTTAGTTATTTTTCCCTGCAAGTCTAAGAGTGACTCCTGTTTAAATAAAAAATGAAAGTTTTCAGAGAAATGATCACTTGTCTCACGCTCTGCTACCTGAAAGGAATTTTCAAGAATCAATGTTTCATCAGCCCAACAAACTGTCAGTCTTGTTCAATAAATGAAACCTCCTTGAAACAGTACATGATTCCCATGGGGTTTTCTAGGGAGCTCTGGATAGCCATAGGCAGGGAGCTTCAAGGAACACACAGAAAGGACTATTTCCCAATGCTAGAAGGGGCACCCCTACCATTTTCTCCAATTTCCCATTTCACCCTTCTGCAGAGCAAGCCTGATGTGGAGTACACTGTCAGTTCTAAAAGGTTTCAATCTCAAACCCTAGAAATAAAACACTTAAAAGTTGACCAGGTAAGTAAAAACCAGTTACAAGGCCCATCATGCTGCATCACCCTGACCCAACACAGCACAGGACAGTCAGCTGTGCTCTCTCAGCCCTCGGAGGACACCCCCACACAGCAGTGTGGGAACGACCAAACTGAAAACAATTTGCAGGACTTGGTTCTGAAGAGAAATTTAGCTCTCCAGATTCAGTCCACAACTTCCAGAGCAGAAAGCTTCCTCTTTACTGTCACATTGTTTTAGGACCCCCAACGCACCTAGCTCAGCTGAAGACAAGAAGCTGCAATAACCCCGCAGGCTGCAACAACAGCTCCTGCGACTCCTTGGTGCCCAGCTCTGGGACTGAGCTCCAAGTCGTGCAAGCAGCAGGTCCCTTTTCCCCAACAGTACAGCACAGCCACCAAGGCCACTCCGAACTCACTAAAAGAAGGCTGGGATTTACTCCCATACATGAGACGCTTATTTTATGTTTCCAAAGGACAGAAAAAACAATCCTGCTTTCACACAAATACTTTCATAGTAAGCACAGGCAGTTTTTTGTCTTTCATGGGTAGAAAATAAACAAACAAGCAAACAAAGCAGCATACCTCCAGGCACTTGAAGGCAATGTCAAAATGTTCCCTATGGATATGCACTGCAGCCGATTTGATCATCTGCTCAAACGCTTCTCCAACAGCCACCCAGGGTAGTTCAATTTCTGCTTCAGTAACAGGGCCCAGCTTTGACAGAATTAATTTCATAGCCTGAACAGGAAAAGAGTACATTGTGTACATCACATAAAACGGGTGAATGCTTTGAAAATGAGTCTAGCAACCCTAAATTTAGTTAGTGTAATATACTGCTAAAATACCACAGTGATCTGAAAGCTCTGTAAAATAATTAGTGCAAAATAAAAAAAAAACCCAAAACTTTTAAGCTAACAGTTAACATCCAAATTGTTTTTATATTAATATAGACAGTACAAACTGCGCATAGTACCAGCAAGCAGAAGCATTTTAATAGACAGGAATATAATATAGGAATGACTGAAAACCAGCTCCCCATCTCAAAAAAGAGCTTTATAAGAAGGTATTAGATCCTGTTCAATAACAAACAGCACGCTTATCACCGAGGACCCACTGAGGTGAACAACATGACACCCAAACACTTCACTGAGCACCACCTATGGCTTCTTTATAGCTACATTTGTACCAGCAAATCTTTCTTCTTGTCTTTACCGTTTCCGCACAAGAGTGGAACATGTTTCGAACGCCCTTGCACATCTCGAAAAGGAGCTGTCCCACACCTTCCACTTTCTCTGGGTGCTCCCCCAAGTCGAGGAACATGAAATTGAAGAGAGCATTTTTATCAGAAACCTGCAAAACACAAAGGAGAAAAAAAATAATCTTCCATTTAGAGCTGTCAAATTAAAAGAGGCAGATGCCAGCACCACCTTCCCGCCCTAGCCCTGCCTTTCTGCAACAGTTCAAGCTCATTATTTCTGCAACAACCTGAAGAAATGTAATGCAGGAAAATATTCAGCTATTCAATCACTGCAGGTCCCCCAAACACACACCGTTCTACTGAGGCCACTGCAGTTGTAGTACATGCTTTTGATCATTCTGATGATTTTAGAGGAAAGCATGTGCATAAACGCATCATTAAATTTGTCCTAACTGGAACACAAAGGTCTCTGCACCAGTCTGGGAGGAAACGTGTATCGGCTGAATGCAGAATCCAGTCACCCGAAACTATTACCACGCTTGGGAATATTGCAAGGTTTTCTGGACCAAGATTACGAAGCCCTCTTTGTCTGAGGACTTGGTTTGAATTTCAGCAATTTCTAAAAACAACCAATTGAACGAGTATGTTTTATTAAGGTCTCTCAACCCAAAGCAAAGACAGAGATGCTCAGATTTGCTCATCAGTGTCAGGAATTTTGACTTTGTACATTTTAACTAAATGATACACAACAGCTATCGCTCCCTTTCCTTGATGGAACTCCTTGGGAATATTACATACTCTGAATTTCAAGAGAGCAGAAACATTTTCAGAAGAATTCTGTCATACAACGGCCTCAAAGCACTACTGGCCCCTGTACAACTGTTGAGCAATACAGCACTGCAATACAGTTCGAAGTCTCCCTTTTGCAAAATTACCTGAGGACTTCTAGACATTTTAGGTAAATCAGCTGTGAACATTTGGTTTCACTTCCCTTGAAACAGAAAGCTCTAAGGCACTGTTTGCCACTGTTGGTATTAAGTGTGTGACAGAGACTAAACACTTGTAGAAAAATGACAATTCAGGACACACAGCTTGCTAGTTCAGGGGGCAAGGGCCATGGGCCACAACAAAATGGAGACAGCCACAATACAAACATTTCGCTTACCTTTCTCATTAGAAAGACAAAACTTTCAGCAGCAAAGTTTCTGATATGAAGTTTGTGGTGAGCCAGCAGGGTACTATACAGACTACAAAGACACAAAATAATCTACTGCTTAAAAACAATGCAGGAATTGGTTGTAAAAGTTACATTTCCAGTTTACTTTTCCACCCTCTACAAACACTAAGAACCTGTATTCCTAGAGATGGCAAATGGCCTTCTTCAATGCCATTCCTTCCCATACTTCCGATAACAAGGACACAGTATTGGAATGATGAGCAAATGAGAAGCTAACATGTTTACACTTCATGTCTGAGGATTTAGGCCCCAGGCAGACATACCTCTAACATCACTGGATCCACACAGATCCACTTGCAGCATCAAGACTTTTAACAGAAACACTCACCAGTAATAGGTGAGACCAAACTTCATTTGATATATCAGAATCATTCCACTTGTGTTTCAGCCACAGGGCTTCCTGTGCATGTAAAGTTTCCAGAGATACAATTTAAAAGGGCAATGGATGTTTGTAATTCTCCAGTAAACATCAGTAGTAGTTGCAGGTGGCTCAGCACATGTTATGTGCAGAAAGATTCGTGCCTCAGATTCACAGTGGGGCAGATGTTCCTGCAATATGCTTGAAAGCTTTTGCTGGGTCGGGGAGGAAGTATCTTACACCCATGTTTTGCTCCATCTGTTCCCTATTGAAATTAGTAGCAAGCAACACAGACCCACAGGCCAACTGAAAGACAAGACCTGCTGTCACAGTAGCATAAGAATGAACAAGCAATCCCACTGGGTCAGACTACAGATTCATCCATCCCAGTAACTGGTCAACAGCAGCCAGAAGCAGATGCCTGAGGAGGGGTTTAAAAACAAGGCAAGCACATATAAAACCAGCCTCCAACCATCTGCAGCTCAGGCTTCCCAAGCCAGAAGTGGTTCCTATTATGCTTGATAAACTCCTTCAAACTTGGCCAGTTTCCCTTTCAGCTTATGCCAACCTTCAGAATCCACAGTATCCTGTGGCAAGGAGTTTTACATCACACAAAATAGTGCAGAATTCATTTGCTCTCTCACTAAACAGACAGGAGGAAGAAGGGAAGAATAAAAGAGGTAAAATCCTGGCACAGGAATCAGAGAAAAGACTCAAAAGAATCCATTTCACAGCTTAAATCTTGGGGTCTGCAACTGGGAAAGAAATAAAGGATGCAACTATGTCCAAGCTACTCGACAGGTATCAGGAGACTTGTGTTCAATTTAGACTTTGTCATAGGCTTTCAAAATGACTCCAACAACCCAGTGTCTTTCTGAGTTTTGCTTTACCAGCTGAGGAGGCTTCCTCTTGTATCACCACCTGCATCCACCACACCAGGAGAAAAGGTGATCAAAGGCTCAAGTTTTCAGGCTAACTCACATCCCTCCTAGTGTTTGCTCAAGAGGGTTGAATATGAGAATAGGAGTCATAATCTGTCTCTGACAGCAGAGAAAGCATACCAACAATTATACTGAAGCACTAAGCCATATGATTGAGTGCCACTTACACTCCCATAGCATGTAATAACTGCCAATCAAGACATACGTTAAGCAGGGTCCTTACCTGTATATGTTACGTATGTCCTTCACCATCAATCTCCACAAGTATTTGTAGAGATAGGAAAGGGAAGTAAAAGCCCATTCCAGCAGTTCTGTGTCCTGTGTATCCAGTAAGTTGGTGATGGCCAGGAAAAAGTCATGAAAGTGAGGATAGAAGTCAGCCTGGAGATCTCGAGCCAGTTGCACCACTAGGCTGGGTTTCAGACAACACACCAGTATTAGCGCATTTTTAAAAGAAACTAATAAAAACTTTATAAAGCACTGCATAATCAGACTCCAAGCTCTGTGTTCAGCAAAACACAGGCTCTTTAGAAAGAAATATAGCATCACGCTTGCTTCCCATTTTTATTATATCTCTCTCATTTTATTATTAAATATCTCTCATTATGCAGCTGTCAAATTTTATAACGGGAAAAAAAGAATCAAACCGATAACAATAAACAGGGAGACACAGATGATACAGATGATAAATATTAAACAAAGCACATTAGTACTCTGGCTAGCACTCATACTAGTTTGCTTGTAATAGCTATTTGTCTGAAGATAAATACTTAGAAGCATGATGCTCTATCAAGAAAATACCACCACTGTGGGCATGTTATAGCTACACCTCTTTCCTCATGTATGATAAACAAAAAGGGCACTCATGAGAGCAATCACATTTACCCTATAATATTGCCAAGGCTCCTTGGCTATATTTTATCAGCATATACTTACTCTAGCAGGGGTTGGTAGGCAAGACTCCCTTTGACTTGCAAATGTATTTTCAAGCTCTGCACGATGGCACTCTGGTAATAAACCAGTTGGTTGAAGGACTGGCATTTGTTGGCTACTTCTTTGTAGAATTGCACTATTCAAAACACACAAAAAAGAAACCCTTAGAATTAGATTCCAGTTGCTGGCAAACCTGCTCAAGAAAAATAGCTCTCTAGAGCCCAGTCCAAAACCCAGTAAACAGAAGGACTCCCAGTAGACTTTGGTTCCACAGGAAATTTCTCTTAACACTTCAAGGCAAGCAAGAAAATTATTAAATAAAAATGAGGTACCAAAATGCTGAGTGAGGTTCAATTCCCTCCATTTCTGTAGTGCTTCAAAGAAGTAGGTTTCAACCTCCTGTCAAAATAAAGAACAAATATTAGCCTGTCAACCCCAAAGAATGGTTCAAATGGAGAAAACTATCAAATGTCTCAAATATTTTCTTTAAGGATATTTTAAGAATTCTGATGACTTCATTTTAAAAAAGATGCTACGGAATCTGTCTGAAAAATGACATCTATCTTTCTATTGCAGACACATTTAAAACTATTTTCTGGTGACGGGAATAATTTACGTACTTGTTTTTTACACCTCTGTGACTAGCCCTGACAATCTTACAAAGTTATATGCATAGCCCTCCGAGCACAAATACTTTGGGATTTCTTTTGGCATCCTCACAGCCTTTGAGCAGGAAATTCAGCACCACTATCCAGCAGATCAGGAGATAGCTAACCTATCACACACTACGATCACAGTAATGACATAATGGGCACAAATAGATAATGTTTTTTATGATATCTCAAGACACAGGCTTTGTACACATTTATATACTTTGTAGGGCTGCACCAAGGACTGCTAACAGCCGGAGCAGCATCCTCCCTGCGGAGAAGTACCCACAAAGTGACCAGCTACACGGTGCCATCAGGGTCCTGCTCTCAAGAATCCTCTAACACATAATTGTGAAGCAGATCCGCAAGCAAAAGGAAACAACACAGGACATGAGGCTCCAAGAGAGGCAACTCTTACATACGCTTCTTTCTAATTCCTTCCCAAAATATTTTTTGAGTCTTTCATGAAGCTTATCTGCTTGTGATTTGAAGTCTTCTTTCAGAAAAAGACATTGCTGCTGCTCTCACCTCAGCGTAGCTTCCAGTTCTGTCAATCCGATGAATAATATCGATGTTAACATTGCTTAAACGTTCCGAAAAGGTAAGAAACTGTAAAACATAAAGACATGCATTTTGTTTTGCTCTTTCCTGCAAACAGTCCTTCTAAATTACTCCCAGGAGCACATGCAGCACAAACCAAAACAAAAAATTACTTCAAAGGATGGACTATCAGAGAGTATCAGCCAAACAAGAAGGACCTGTAAACAACTCTAAGAGGAATATTAATAAGTGGAGATTCTTTTTAACTGAGTTATAGAATCATAGAATCATAGAAGGGACCTCTAGAGATCATCTCGTTCAACCCCCACCTACAACTGTGAACTGCAATATTCTGCAAATGAATAAAAACAACTTTCTCCTCTCCTTTCCTCCTGAAAACAAACATCTGTCCCTTCCCCACCAGGGTCCACTCAATACATGTGTCTCTGAAACACAGAGAAACGTGAAAAATCTATCAGGATTTCTAAAAGATGGCTTTTTTTTTTTTAAAGAAAGCATAAATGTAAACCCTAATGGATTTAGTTTATTTATTTACTAAATGTTTTTAATATTAGACCTATCGCAGCCCTGGCGCATAGCGACAAAACGTGGTTTAAACACGTGGAGGACTTCATGGGCTGCAGTGCAGGAGGGGAGAAAGCGACCACAGATTACCAAGTGAAAACTCATACGGAGATTAAAAAATAAATATAAAGAGAGAGAGGAAGTGATGCCAGATCTCAAGAATGCTGCGCTAAAAACCGGCGTCCTGAAGCGAATATTGACGATGCCCCGTGCAGCTGAGAGCACCGAGCGCCCCGCCATCCCGCGCGCTGGCCCCGCCGGGCCGCCCGGTGCCGCCGTGGCC